AAGATTTACAAGTTTTTATTTCAAAAACTAAATAATAATTAAATTTTAAATATATATAATTATATTACGAAATTAAATATACATGTTCATATACCCAATCACACACACCAAAACCCTAATCATTTTCATCATCTCTATTTTATCTGCTCTCTCTCTCTCTCTATCCCATTTTCTCTCTTCTCTCTAGTCATCTGTCGCTGGCACCATCTCGTCGGTACCACGCTCAACCACTACACCCACCAAAAAAATCCCAAGACATGAAGCCGTCATTTCCATCTACGCCATCATCACCTCAACCATCAACACCACACCAAACATATCAAGAGAAACGAATGAGGTGGGAAACAGAGAAACGGATCGTCGCGTCCCTTCGACGACGCAACAACTCACAGCATCGATGATGCAGGATATGGGAAAAATTGTAGGGAAATAACAGGATATAGGGAAATGCAGGGATCTGCCGCAACGGAGAACGAAAGGATCTGGAAAAAATTTTGTTGCAAGTGGCATTGTGAGGTGGTGGCGATTTTTGAAAGGTTGTGGCGGTGCTAATTATTTTTTGAGTGGTTTTTATTGGTGCTTGTCGTGGTGCTGGTCATCGCGGTGGTGATGTCGGTGTCAGTGGTGGCTTTGTTATGAATCTAATTTGTTAGTATTTAATTAATAAAATATATTTTAAATTAATTATTTCATAAATAAAATTTAATAATAACTAATTTTTGAAGTTTTAAACATTGTTTCTTAGTTTTGAGATATGAAATTTTCCCAAACTAGAAACACCAAATGGACCATAACAAAAAAAGCAGAACCTATCATCTCCTCCCCATACCCGCAACATGCCTAGGACCCAAAGAGAAATCAAGGCAAACAACACATGGACAAAACAAGTGGAAATTACACCCCATAAATGGTTTTTAAGTTTCAATTTCAAAAATCAGATTCCAAAGTTTTTTATTCAAAAATCAAATGAAAATTTAAATTTTTAATATTAATAATAATATTAAAACATCAAATTAATCTAAATATTCACTCCACCTCATCCCACTTCCATCCATCCTACCAAATTTCATTCTCAAACCCTAATTATTTCATTTTTCTTTCTTCTCTCGTTCCTATGTCTAACCTTTCCCTTAAATAGATCATCACCATAGGAAGATAGCAACACTATGTAGAGAAGACGAAAGTGGCGTTGATCTGTACAACGACGATAATCGATCCATCGTCTTTACAGTGGCGCTTTGTTGAAAAGTCATGTGAACGGCGATAAACAGTGTCTCTGTGCAGAGTCGTCACACGCAACAGGGTTGTGCAAAGCCACCTATCACCCCTTTATTCACCAACGCCTAATTATCCCTTTGATCAACCACCTCCATCATCTCCGTTGCCCCTCACCCCTTCATTCACTGGTGCGACGTGGATGTGGTTTTGGGAATGGCGACAGTATGGATGTGGTGTTTCTTCTCTTTGATATGTCTAGGGCGACGCTATGCGCCCTACAGTCGTCATTGCAGCCTCGCTAACGTGGTGCTTCTGGGTACTAGTGGTAAGGTGGTTGTTTCTAGGTGTTTTTGTGTGTCACCTAGTGGTGGCAATGGGCCAAGCCGAGCCGGCTCGGCCCATTGCCCCCACTAGCGACAGTCGAGCGATGAAGTTTCTATTTCTGACGCTTGAACCAAACCTAGGCGAAAAGCTAGCCAAA